TTTGGGACAAATATCCACAAGGGTGATAGACACCGTTGTCATCCGTTTGGAGTAGTACCGCACCGGTGGCAACTAGGGATGCGTCGGTGGCAACTGCGAACTGTCTAGTGGGATCAGGGTTACGGAGAACTGGTTGCTTCAAAAAGCATTCTTTCAGTTCAGAAAATGCTGACGTGCATCGTTCGGTCCAAAGGAATTTGACGTCTTTCTTGGTAAGGTCAATTAACGGTCTGGCAATGTCGGAGTAATGGGAAATGAAGTTCCGGTAGAAGTTGCAGAATCCTAAGAACGACCGAACTTCTTTTACCGATGTGGGGGTAGGCCAGTCCCGAATACCGTTGGTTTTAGCGTTGTCCATTGCTATACATCCAGGGCGAATTATCATCCCGAGGTACTCCACTTCTTCCGCGTCGAATGTACACTTTTCCGGTTTAAGGAACAGTTTTTCTTGTCAAATTCTTTCGAGGATATGTCGGGTACGTTTATGATGGGAAGTGAGGTCGTTCGAGAATATGAGGATGTCATCCATATATATGACGAGCCATCCTTCGTTAATTTCCTGTTGGAATGTCCTATTCATGTACGCCTGGAAAGTAGCTGGAGAGTTGCAGAGACCGAAAAACATGACGTTGGGCTCAAAAAGCCCGTACTCCGTGGTGAAAGCAGCCTTCCATCGGTCCTCCGGATGGATGCGGATATTATTGTATCCTGACCGGACGTCCATCTTCGTAAAGTATTTGGCACCATGTAACTGAGCGACCAGGGAGAGTGGCAGTGGGAGTGGGTAGGCGTTCTTAACGGTCCATTCATTGATATACCGATAGTCTTGGCAAGGATGGAGATCTCCACTCTTCTTTCCTACGAAAAAGAAACCGCTGGCTTGCGGTGATTTTGATTCGGAGATAAATCCCTTTTTGACATTTTCATCAATGAAAGCCTTAACCGCCATCCGTTCCTTTTCAGATAGTGGGTACACCTTAGACGTCTTGGGAATGAAACCTGGCTTCGTTTCTATTCGGTGGTCTATACCAGGTCGCTCTGGCGGTAGCTGATTCAAGCCATCCTTTGCGAAGATATCGGCGAAGTCGTGAAGATAAGAGGGAACAAGTTCCTCGAATGATTTCTTCTTTTGTTCGAGCCCGGCAGCTAGCGCAAACTGCTGAGCTTTGTTACTTGTCTTCGCGTATTCAACAGGTGGTGTCAGGGGAGCGATCTTGGGTCGTTGCTCCGCGATACTAGTCCCGTCTTTTGTCAAAGGGGTGTCAAATGAGGTGTTGGTGATTACCCGGAGCTCTGAGGCATCGGCAGGGTATTCGACTAGGAATTCGTCATCTTCTAGATGGTAGGTGGAGATCTCTCGCACGGGTGGTGCGTAACCAGTCGTCCATACATCTTCTTTCGTGTCAAAGGATTCATCATCATCGTCCGGGATGGGTTCCAGATTAGGCAACGCTGACGAGGTTGCTTCTTCATCATCAATTTCCTCTATCGTGGCATGCAATGGCTTTTGCTCGATCGTTTCCCTAGGAGGCGCCTTCGGCAGCACTACAACTGGGATTGGTTCTTCTTCTATTTCCTTTCTGCGAAAGAGAGGAGGCAATTTGTTCTTCTTTCGTTCTTGGTCAACTTCTTCCTCGATTTGATCACTCTTCTCGGTTTGAGAGAGTTCTAGCGTTTCTGCTTTCCATCGAATTACTGGGTCCATAGCGCGTAGCCAGGGAATCCCGAGTAAGATCTGATCGCGTCGACCTAGTCGTGCGATGTTAAACTTTCTGATCATTGATCGGTTATCTATCTTGACGATGAGGACGCAATATCGTGTGATAGCGCCTCCCTTTGCATAACTCCCATCCGCGGTTGTAACCCGAAATGGTTTTGATAGTTTATGCGTTCGGATGTTGTGAGTCTTGATGAATTCTTCTGAGATAAAGGTTCCGGCGGCGCCGGAGTCAACGACTGCTGTCGTTTCGACGGTTTTCAGACGGGTCTTGGAGATGAGAGAAATAGGAACGCGAAGTTCCTTTCTTATTCCAATACTTCGTACGAGTCTGATGGGTACATTGGAAGATACGGACGTCGATCCCGTCTTCCACATCAAAAATCCTCTGCGAGACGACGGATCGTTGTATCTTCTTCTTCTTCGCTGTCGCTCATCTCTTCTCTGCGAACAGGGATCTTCTTCTTCTTCAACGGGCATGCTTTAGTCATGTGCCCCTTCTGGTGGCACGTGAAGCATAGTCCTTTCTTCATATGGTCGCTTCTTTCGGCTTCAGTGAGCCGGTCTACTTCCATGGCATTTGGGTCATGTCGGTCAATGGAAGGTCTTGGTACATAGCGCTGCCCAGAGGGTTTGGTGGTGACCCGATGATTGGATCTGAATGCGACACCCCTCTGATAGTTGCTGTCTAGTCTTACGACTGCAGCGATGTACTTGTCGAAGTCTGTTGGGATAGTTTCCATCTGATAGACGGAGTTAACGATCCCCTTCTTCAATCCGTCATTGAGGAACGTGATGAGGACGGCGTCTTGCTTGACACCGGCTTGTGCAGCGAGTGTCTTGAAGCTGGCGATGTAGGATGTGATGTCACCCGTCTGTTTCAACGTTCTAAGCTTGTTCATGGCGGTGCCGACGGCATCGGCGGGCACGAAGGCTTCTTTGAACTTGGTTTCAAAGTTCGCGAAGGTCCCGTAGGACTTGGCGGCGGAGTTGTCGACTTCTGTGTAGAAGGTGAGTGCCCAACCCATAGCACTGTCTTCTGTCATATACGCGAGAGCGGTAATAACCTTCTTCTCATCGGTATTGTAGATCGTAGCATTAAGTGCGAAGTACGCCTTTATTGCATACAACCATCGTAGCGCCTGCTGAGGGCTCCCATCATAAGTAGACGGGGCTCCGGCTTTCAATTCTGGGGTGTTTGCGACGGTGGACATCCTGAGCGTCTGGTCGAGTGATGTCTTCGGTTCAGGGGAACGTTATTCGTTCTCTCGCTGAGTTCTCTTCTGGTTCAGGGGAACGTTATTCGTTCTCTCGCTGAGTTCTCTTCTGGATTCTGTATAACCTCTCCTGATGAGAGAGGGTCGGTGGGTTCTGTATAACCTCTCCTGATGAGAGAGGGTCGGTGGGGGACTTTAATCTTTTGTTACGGCGAACCGTAGGTCGACTAGGATGGGCTCGACAATAGATACTCGATAAGAGTAACGTCTAAAGCCGGATCGTGTCCTCACAAATGTAAGGTTCTTAAGACAAGAAAGAGAGGGTGTCTCTCTCTTGAATATCGGTATCAGACACTTAGAATTGGAGGTTCTAAGCGAAGGATGTTCTGGGTGAAACCTAGTAGATTAAAGTGAAGTCTAACTAAGTACAAGATCCTGCTTATATAGGTAAGGCCTACTTTAGGGCCGGTATGTACACGTCATCGAGACGAGTCAGAGATAAGAGAAATGACGTCATCGAGACGAGTCAGAGATAAGAGAAATGACGTCAGCTAACGATGGCACGAGGCGGTCGCGCTGTGATACATGAGTTAAGCGGAATAAAGGAATAGCCTAGTGATGGCACGGTTCAGTGCGGTCATGGCGTAGTACAAAGGAATATAATGGAGAAAATGATAGGGGGCAACCGTTACTGTAACAATTAGCCCTCAGTTGTGATGGAACAGACTATATTGCAATCTACCTAGACACAGCGTTAGCCTAACATAATTGGTCCATCAGTGTCTAGGTATGATCCGATCGAATGAGAACTAACCCTCAGTTGTGATGGAACAGACTGAGGGGAGAAGATGACATGAGGTAATCTAATAAAGGTTGGTTTGTATTCCAACCGCCTAACTCCGCCGCTGGTTGTTCATCGTGTTGTAGCACCAACATGTTGTACCAGGCCTACGTTAGGCGACACAAGGATCCTTGAAGCTGAGTTCAGAGTTCAGGCGTCTCATGGATGGCGAGAGAACTTCAGAGTCTCATCGTGCATCGGAGAACGAGAAACCGGATTCCTGGAGATCGGCAGCTGAGGCTCAAGAGATCCAAATTCCAAAGGATAATGCTCCCTAGGTGTAATTTTTATTTTCTGCTTGGTGCACAGCTTGCCATGCAGCTTAACAACTTGGACGTTTACAATGTGCATCTGGCAGGTTTACTCTGGGACTGCACTCCTCTATAGCTTTCGCTGCATATGGCTAATCACAAGTCGACATTGTCCATTTCATTAGCAGAGCCTCTCTCGATGTCGGGTTTCTGTTGGTTAGTTGGGTTCGACCTCAGGAACACGGCTCACAACTACAATCCTTAACATGTGTCAGTCCGACTGTGTACTGGTATCATGTCACCGCATGGGAGGCTTTTATAAGCATTCTACAACTTGAAGCTTACAACGAGGATAAACCGTAAGTACTTCAGTCATACAAGTCATACACCATGTATTCATATGTTTGAGATATTCCTCTACTCTAAGGTCTTCATTGCTCAAGCAGCAGCAAAATTTGTTCAGAAGTAAACACTCCGCATTGCGCAACGAACTACTTACGTGTGGTCCCATCAACTATGCTGCACTAATGAGAAAGCCGAAACACGACTCACTGTAGCTCATCCGATAGGTGCACATTATATACGTAGTAAGGCTACCATGTCGGTGAGTCAATAAATCCTGGATTTAACTACTCATACTCACCCCATCAATTTGTAGGTTGAGTTCTGGCACGCATACACAGTCTTGGTCGCAATTTTCATATGACTCGCAAAGCTGGCCCTCTGAAGGGCATTTAAGGGCAGCACTGACAACCATAGACACCGTCAAAGCAGCAATAACGACGAGGACAACTCGGAAGGAGAGACACATTATATGTGAGATGCGATATGGGTTCTCAAAAATAAATGCGAAGGGAGTTGGTAGGAAAACGGGTTGCTTTTATGTCCTGAATACTGTTCAGTGCAGACCCTATCCACCTTAAATCCACCTTCAAACGGATGATATTTGCAATGCCAGCAGATTGCCAACAGGCCTCGGATTTGCACTATCCCGGGTGTTCTATTGCAAGGTAGAAGAACCCAAGGACATGATGATGACGTGCAATTCCAAGCTGTTGTCGTATAATGATGTCCTAGTACGCCAGCGACACAAGAATTCCAGAAGCTGAGTTCGGGGGTCTCACAGATGCTGAAAACTTCGAAGCCTGGTCATGTGTCGGGGAACGCGAAACTAGAGATAGACACAAACTTCTCAGGGAGGCTAATACCGACCTCGTACTCGCATAGAAGGGCCTGGTCGCAAAAGAGTGATTGACAGATGTCTAGAACTCAAGAAGGAACTAAAATCAGTGCCTCAGGTGGTTTTCTGCTTCTCCGACTGTTCTCTTCTGATGTTCTCCTCAGCCAGCCATTCCAATGCGCTGACGGAAAGCGCTAAGAGAGATCCGATTATATAGCCTGCGATCCCTCCGAAGAGAGGCGTTAGCGGCCAGGTCTAGGTATCATGAGCTTGAACCTCGGTAAGTGATACGAGAACTAACCTGCCATGGTCGATCCCAGTCCAGTGCGATTGGAAGAGCACCGAGCCAAGCGCCAAGGAGGGTAGCAACAGCAGGATAAACCAGAGCCTTTTCTATCGGATTTCGCGGGCTAGCACAATGTCAGGCAAAGAGAAAATGGTACACATATTAACCCACGAAAGCTCTGCGAATAAACGTGTCCAGTTAAGTCTGGTGATGAAGGCCGAAGCGTCAGAGGAGAAGGAGGGGGAACCCAGTGCATAAGCTGGTGCGAACGCGGATAGTAGTGCTAGAACGATCGCCAGCAAGAATGTATGAGGGAGGTGACTTTCCATAGACGATCAGCACAAATCTTGTTAGATACGTCAATTTTCACCTTGAAGAAGGAGCACCGAACAACAATATAGTTGCGTGGAACACCAAGGCCACACATGAAGTGAAAGCAGCCGCTCTTCCTAATCTCTGAGAGAACATGAGAAATTTGAACTGCAAAGGAGAAGACGCACCGAGAATCTCCCCCGATCGAACTGATACCTGTCCATTTTAATCTCGTCACTCGTTCCGCCGCGAGAGGTATACTCGAAACACCACTGCCTGATCCACCCCGCCCACCATACTTGGAGGATCACTAGCCCTGCAACGATCCAAGCGAGTGTTATGACTGGGTTATCTGTCAGTGCGTCTTGAAACTGGGATTGTGGACGGTCAGAATCAGCGAGTGATGGCCAGAGTAAGAGAGAAGTCTGGGGTAGGAAGAGGGCTGTGAACGCTACAAGGCTGGTGTGAACGCCCACGACGGAGGTGTACCGTGCATATGGGAAGAACGCGTATTGGCCTTCATGTGTGGAAGATGGGACTGTAGTCTTTGCGGGTTTCGCGGGCATTTCAATGAGTGGCTCTGAGTCGCGATGCCTAATATTCCTGGACCCTTGAAGAGGTACAAGGTTGGTACAAGGTCTTGGGAAAAAATATCTGTCCTCTGCGGCTCACGCCGGCCCGTTGGTAGTTACCCACAATGTCGGAAATTTCCAGGGGTGCCTTGCAAGCGTTCCATATTGGGACACAATTTGGACCACATTGGAACTAAATTCCCAGGGAGCGTGACTGATTTTACTCACTTGCAAGCAGGCTCTTAGTACTTACAAGCGATTCCAATGGTACCTGTGTGATTATTGATAATTGCAACCGCAATTCATTATGTCAGATTATGACAATCTTTGTTGTCGACGTCATTGCTTCTCATTGATCCAACTCCTCCTGCATCATCGTGTTGAATTTTTAGCTGCCTTTCTTAGGCTGTATATCTTTAATTTGTACTACTCTTGTGGCATGGCCCCCAACCGAAACATGACGAACCAGGGACATAAATATATTGCTTCAACATCATCCAACAACCAAGTGGATTGTCAGTACTGTAACAAGTCATACTTGATGCACAGGATCAAATCTCACGAACAAGGGTGTCTGAGAAGACAGGATAAGAAGAATGATGACAAGGATTTCATGGCACTTGCAGCGTGTGCAGTAGAGGAGGAACTTCAAAGGAAAGGTAAGCATTGATTAAATTCTGTCTTCATTGACATATTGTCTTGTTGAGATCAGTGTACTAACATTAATTAATCTTTTTGCATGATTGTTAGAAGCATGTCGAGAGAAAAGATGGCATTGTAAGGAGCAAACAATGGCTTCTGCTGTTGTTGCTGCCACAGTGCCGTTGGTCCCTTTGAGAATGGTCCTGGATGGCACAAAGAACTCGTCGCCTGAGCAAGATCAGCAAGATCAACAGCCTGCCAACTTCACTGAGGGTCCATTGTTCGAAGGGGGTTCAGATATCGCTGATGCAACAAGCATCAGTAGAGATTCAGATGCATGTCAATGTATGTATTATTTTGACTCATGATGTGCCTCCCTTTCTGAAATCTTGATTGCAGGTTCAGAATCAGATACAAGCATGGGCATCCCCACATGTATCACCCTATCATCACTCCCAATTATGCCTTCGGCTCATCCTAATCTTGATGCTTTCAAGACAGAATACCACCCACACAGTGGCCGTGCGACTTCTGTAGAGTCATTCTCAACTTTTGGACACAAGGAGCATCAGCTGCCACCTATCGTTGACAACAAACCCTGGCAGCCTTTTGCTTGTCGTGCAGACTTTGAGTTCACCGAACTTGCACACCAGGCTGCCTTGAACAAGAGTCAAACAGATGAGCTGTTGCGGCTCATCTGGAGAATCGCTGATGGCCAAGTGAAATTCATGTTCAAGTCCCATGGCAATGTTTCAAAAGCCTGGGACAGGGCTGCCAGTCAAATGTCACCTGTGAGAGAAGAACATGATTTTCTTTTTTTACAGTCATATTAGACATTCCTTTGATAGTTCAAGAAGCACACCATTACTGTTGAGCACAAGCAGGAGGACCTCGAGTACAATGTATACACATGGCCATTGTGGGACTGGGCCTTGGACTTGCTACAGGACCTACTGCTGGCACCCCATTTTGTTTGGGATGCACAGTGATTGTACAAGCACAACAGGATGTGTTACAAGCATTTTGTACATGAACCTTGGACTGGAGACCGTTGGTGGAACGTTCAAGTAATATTTTTTGTATCATTGTTCATTTGTGATTCTACTAAGTGATACCCTTTATATATTTAATTCACAGTTGTCTTTACCTGAAAATGGTGTCCCATTCGCATTTATATTGTATGCAGATAAAACTCATCTATCTTCTGCCAGTACAGTCAAAGCCTACCCTGTCTTTGTGCAATGCGGAAACTTGCCTGTCAATATCAGGAACACTGATGGACTTGGCGGTGGGCGAATGGTTGGCTGGCTACCAATAGTAAGTGAAATTAGTGTTAGTTCTGAGTTTTGCTGGCAAAACAGTTCTTTTGTGCAGGTTCCTGACAATTCCAAGGAGGACAGAAAGCTCTCATATGTCAATCTCAAATGTGTTGTATGGCACAAGGCATTCTTCAAGCTGCTCGAAACCATCATCATCTATGCTGAGACAGGGTATGCATATACATGCTATGACAGCATCATGAGATGATTGTATGCATTCATCTTGCTATTATTGGCTGATTATGAGGAGCAGTAACGTCGTTTCATACTTTTTTCTGATGGTTTTCTGATCTAATCTTAGGTGCATGATGGCACTGATATGGGGAACCAATTGTCACTGTCCCTGTCCTATCTGCCTTGTCCCTTCAGATAAGCTCTACTGATAACACTTCCACTTATCTGACTCGATCATCTGATGAGATGAAAGCTTTGGTGGAGCTATGGACTAGGGACCGTGTAGCTGGAGAAAGTGCACTCAAAAAACAGGGCCTACGGCCTATTAAGGTCAGCACTTGCAATCAAATATACCAATGATTGTCCCCCATTAATCATGTCTTATAGAACATCTTCTGGAAAGTCCCAAACTCTGATCCTCATGACATGATTTCGCAGGACCATTTGCATGTATATCATATGGGTCAGTGGAAACATCTCTTCAGCATGCTCAAACAACACATTGCAGCCCTTGGACGCAGCGCCAAGAAGAAACTGGACAATCAGTGAGTTTTAATTGTTCAGACTACATGTTAGTAACCTTATTTAAATGCTCGCAGGTTCAATACCTTCCCATGATGGTGCAATCTGAATCACTTTGATCAGGTTACTAATATTACTTACAGCAATGGTAACAAACTTCAGGATATCTCCAAGGTATGATATGACTTCACGGCTACCAGTTCTCACTGTCAACGAATTACTCTTCTCATAGCAAGTCTTGTATGCCACACAGAACATACTCACATGTGCAGCGGATGAAGCCGGCTATGCACTACTATGGTGTATAGCGAGCTACCTACATATCGACATGTATATTTCACTTGACATGCAGACTGAAAGCACGATTGCTGCAGGAAGGGCAGAGGTGTTAGAGTTTCAGAAGCACTTAGAGGTACAGTCATAGCAGTTCTGCAAATTGTCATTAGTATCAATTCACTTATCATTGATATTTCAGGACTACATTGAAATTGTCAAGGAGACTGATCTGGACACAATCAAGAACTGGAACTTTCCAAAGATTCACTCTGGAAAGCATATATTCGATGACATCATGGCAAAAGGTGCCACTTGGAACTTCAGCACTTGACCAAATGAGAAGCAACATGGACTGATCAAATGGTGGTATCTATGGCAGACCAATCATAAGGATATTGCTGATCAGGTATGTTCATGCCTTTTAATTCTAACTCTCAATGAGTTGCTCCATACCACTCATTTTGTGTAACATAGATCCTTGAGCTTGACCATAAGAGTGTCGTCTCTGAATTTATTTGCAGTCGTATTGAGTGCCTTGATGAGGAACAACTGCAATCTCATGCTTACACAGGAAGAACTGGAGGACATGGACTTGGATGATGAGAAATGTGAAGAACATTTTCATATTGGTTCACCCCTCAAGAATCAAACAACCCTTTCGCAAGTGGAGGAAGAAAACAAGTCCATTCATGCCTTTCACCAGTTCCAGAAGAAACTTGCAACATTTCTCAACAATTTCCTTCCCTCTCACAACATACCGCTGCCAGAAGGAACAACATGGTTGAAACTTTCAGCACAAGACCAGGTAAATTGACTTTCCTTGCTTTTATTCAAATCTGACTTTGTATGTCGAAAGATCCATGAATATTGATACTTGAAAGTGCATTATGAGTCTACCACTGACTACATGCGATGCAACCCAAGCTTCCATGGCAAAGAATGGCATGACTGCACTCTAATATGCACACTGGACAAGGATGGCCATGACAAAAATATATTTGTGAAGATATTATGCATGTTTAAGCATACTGTTGGCAGCTGTACCTTAGATCTCACACTTGTTCTACCTATGGATGCCTTAATTGGCCCATGTCAGCTATATGGATCGAGAACTGCGACTAACTCAACTTCGTGCATGGCCCACTTCTTCATCTGAGTTTATTATGCTTCATTCCATCATTCGTGGTGCTCTTCTTGTTCCAGATTTTGCTCATGATGGAGATTATTTTCTTGTGGATACTGACATGTTTCTTTGTACCATACATTCACTATAGTTACATTAGTAATAACAGTTCATTGACATTACCTATCTCTTTACTTGTCCAGAGTACCCTCCTTCCTCTTCCAACTCCCAAGTAAAGCTTCCTCATTTCATCGCATATGCGCTCAGCTCATTACACATTTTTGCTTGTCCAGAGTACCCTCCTTCCTCTTCTAACTCTCAAGTAAGTAAAAGCTCCCCCATTTCCATCTCATCACACCAAACTCTAATCCATGACATTTCCAGCTGCTCAAAGCACGCTTCCCCACTGCTTGGGGATCTTTGGGTCACCGTCTTTTCATATCTGCTTTCATGCTTGCATCAAAGGTCATCTGTGACAACACTTACTCCAACAAATCCTGGAGTATTGTAGCCGTGGATCCAGTAATGCTCACCGTCTTTTCAGTATCTGCTTTCATACTCATCCAAGACAACCCCTCCACCTACCACAAATCCCTTCCCGCCTCCTCCAGCTGCATTGGCCCCCATGCCTTCATATGGCCATTGGTATCTGCCCACACTGAACCGCTTTACAGCCATTAATTGAGAGCCAGCTTTTTGGGTATGTACCCTCCATTATTATTATGCTGCCTTGTACTAATCTCTTCCCATTGCCTCCTGTTGATGCTTGGGAATCTTTGGAGTACTTAATAGACTATCAATCATTCATCTCCACTTTCTGCATGGGGACATGTCACAATTATTGTCAATGCATTATGTATTTAAGTAAGTCGTGATGATGCTCTGTTCAATTTGTGTGTGTGATATTGATGTGATGCTGCTGCCTTATTACATCCACAGGGTCTCATTCTGATATTCATCTGAACAATGCTGCAACCTTTATCAGAACCATCAATGTGCATCATTACATATATTCAACTGAGTCTAAGGTGCATATCAATTTGTTAGTTAATGTCATGACACATTGTCACCGCCCAATAGCACATGCTAGGGTCAATTTAAGGCTCATGCAATTGACTAAGACTCCAGTTTTCTATTCTCAACATTTGCTTGACTGTTCCACTAATACTAATACTATGCCTCCAATTCAGCATGACCAAGGCAAAGACTTCACTCAAGCAATCAATGACGTCAACAGTGACTCCACCCACAACTCAGATGGAACTGATAGCCTTAGCGATTCAAATGTGGATGATGATGCAGACTTGATGTGGATTCACAATGCCATTGCTGCCCCACCTGCTAACGTGTCAATTCAAGATCTTCACAAGGTAACTGTTGTTTTGCTACACACAGACAATGTTTGTAGTAATAACTAGTAATTGTATCTACTAACAGGCACTTGAAATTGCGCAAAAACTTCTTCTTGACATGCGTGGAAAGCACTGGGAATCATTGAAGAAGATTGCTTTACTCAAGGCTACAGTTTTGAAAGGTCGGAAGATGAAGCTTACAAAGAAAGATCTTGCCCTTGCCACCAAGGAAGACAGCATCAGAAATTTTGGACGCAAGTTCTCTATCACCCACTGCTTATGGGTCGAAACATCTATTTTCCCCTTGTGTGGGCCACCTCCCAGAATTGACCTCTCAAGCAAGGAGTGATGGCTCTCACCGCTATCCATCCAGGATGGCGTTAAAGCTGAAGTTTTCCAATTCATACTGCCAGCTGACCATAATATGATGGCTCATAAAAACTTTGGCTCCCATGTAAGTCCTCCCATCTTTGATTGTGCTCAATGATAAACTTAGTCTTTCCAGTTTGTGAAAGGTGTCAATAACGTTTGTGCCGAAATGCTCTCAGATGTCAAGTCATGCGCGGCAGCCATTTTTGGCTTAGATGCCAAGTTTTTTATACGTGGTTATGCATGGGACACAGAGCCTTCTTGCAAATCTCTGCTCCTTAACCCCCAAGGCCAGTACACGAAGTTTGCACCGATTCTTTTCCCTCATCCAGACCATCTCCTCAGAGATCAGTTTTTGAAAATGGCAAAACTCGTTTATGTAGGTTCTTGCCTTCCCCTCTCTGAATAGAACTAACTAAATAGCATTTGTAGATTTTGAAAGCGTCACTCTTTGGCCGGTCATCACTTGCTGCCAATGCAGTTCCCACTCTGAAAACAAAGGCGAAAATATGGGAGCTACGTGCTGTAACACCAGGTCTCATTGCTGCAGCAGCCATTGTCATACGCTGTTTTCTCTTATGCTGCATGATATTGACACTTAATATGAGTTTCAGGCTATATTTGTCCTTTCTGGTGACAAAGAGTTGGTTGAAGTTGGTGACAAATCTCACATACCATACAAAGACTACTATAACTACTACCGACAATAGGTGCCTGGGCAGACGGAGTCTTCACCTTTTTCAACAACTCCTTGTTTTCAATTTCTTCTGCTGCAACTCTCCTTGATTCAGACTCGACATTACTAGGCGACTCGACGAGTGGTCCGCATGACAGCTGGGAAGAAATGTTTGAGCATGCAATGGAGACTGGGGCAGAACTATCAGAACTGGACATGATTCAGACATTGTCAGTTGGTCCTGTCATTGAAGCATCTTCTTCTGCACCTGTTGGACCCCAGTCAATCTCTGCTGCCATGCAAGGTCTAGCTTTGGCTGAGCACTTACCACCTGCAGCAGTCGATGAGGACGTTGAAGCAGAGCCTGTAGTGCTTGAGGCTCCTGTTGCTGCTCAGAAGCCAAAGCCAAAGCCAAAGCCAAGGTGGAAGGGCAAGGCTGCAGAGACTGCTGACAGTAATAACATTTCAGAAGATAATCAAGCTCCTGCCAATGTTGAACCTGAGGTTTCATCATTAGTAGTCAGTGGCAGTGGTGTGTGAAGGGGCCGATCAAAGACCACTAAGTAATATAATAGATTTTCTTTGTCTCATTGACATGTCACTCGTCAATGTACTTAGATTATTGTTCTCAATGACGTAGTTGGATTAGTAATACAATCAACAACAGCAACAAACATTTGATGTGAAAGACTTGGAAGTCTTTTGTTCAACTTGTCACCTCATTGCAACTATAAACAAAATTAAGTCTTGTCGTTGTCAACTGTCTCATGTCCTGCCAACCTCCACTCCTGTCATCTCCTTAAACTTGTCATGCTGCCAATGCCTATTACCTCCAACCACTCCCATCTCCTTGAACTTTCATTGTCATACTGCTGTTGCCTGCCTCCAACCACTCCCGTCTCCTTGAACTTGTCGTGCTGCCATTGATGCCTGCCTCCAATTTAAACCACTCCCATCTCCTTGAACTTGTAGTGCTGCCATTGACACCTGCCTCCAACCACTCCTGTCTCCTTGAACTTGTGGTGCTGCTGTTTCCTGCCTCCAACCACTCCTGTCTCCTTGAACTTGTGGTGCTGCCGTCAACACCTGCCTCCAGCCACTCCTGTCTCCTTGAACTTGTTGTGCTGCCATTGACGCCTGCCTCCAATTTAAACCACTCCCGTCTCCTTGAACTTGTGGTGCTGCCATTGACACCTGCCTCCAACCACTCCCATCTCCTTGAACTTACGGTGCTGCCGTTGACGCCTGCCTCCAACCACTCCCGTCTCCTTGAACTTCCAGTGCTGCCGTTGCCTGCCTCCAACCACTCCCATCTCCTTGAACTTGCCGTGCTGCCATGCCTGCCTCCAACCACTCCCATCTCCTTGAACTTGTCATGCCACTGTTGCCTGCCTCCAACCACTCCCATCTCCTTGAACTTGTCGTGCTGCCGTGCCTGCCTCCAACCACTCCTGTCTCCTTGAACACACTGCTAGGAATGGGATTTGGTCATTAACTGCCTCTCCAGGTCTCATCCATTTGTTTGTCCAAGGCTAGTAAGACTGATATCATATTTGTATTGTCTCCAACTCAAAAATTGTCCCCACCAGAATTATTATCTCAAAATGAAACAGGAGTGATTGGGGAATGATTGGAACGCAATTGGGAGCAATTTTACAATATTATTATTAATAGCGCTATTATTATATTAAATAAAAGACTGCGTAATTTCAAGACCTTGGAAGGACACTTGTCACTTCCAATGATATTCCAATTAGGGTATATAAGGCATTGGTCAAAATCTTGCCCTTGCATTGGAATGGTCTTGGGACCCACTTGCAAGACCCTCTATTGCTTCTAAGCAGCTTCCAAAATTTTTGGGTTCCCTTCCAAGCGAGTTGTAATGCCGCTGGTAAATTGAGGCCTTCCAATCCATTTTAAGGCATGCCAACCAAAATTAGAAATTTCCGACAAACCCCATTGGACTAATTAGGTTTGTCAGCATGAATTGAGTTCACTGTCTTTTTTGTTGTGCTCCCTTGTTGCCTCAAGGCTTCAAGGCTCAGGCCTTTAATCTCCTCTTCGTCTTCATTTCACATGGCTTCTGGTTCTTCATTGGTCACCAATCAAGCTGTATCTCTTCTCCCTCCAATGTTGCTTGTGATTTCAAGTCACAAGCTTGCAGACAATGCCACAATGAGTATTTTAAATTGTTGTGTCATCATATATTTTGCTCAAATTCTTGAGATCTCTCATGAGTGTTTCCTTATGTGTAACCAATATTCTATTGGCAGGTGGTAGCACTGAATCTTTGTGGAGAAATTTCCCTGTTCATGTTTTCTCAGCGGATTGAAAGGATCACACCCATGATTTGCCCTGTGTAGATGTATGTGATGCTGCATATATATCTAATGCTATTCTTTTCAGGCTTTTAAAGTGTCCAAGACCTAATATTTTGGATCTTGTTGGGCTTCATGTATCTGCAGTTTTATATTGAAGATGAAAGAAAACCTTGCACAATGCCAGTTCAAATTGTATGCAGGCCGCCCTGTCCAATTTGGGCGGCATGAATGCAAGACAAGCACATCTTTGTGGATAGCAGTAGATGATCCACTGGAATGTGAACATGGGGATGAATCATAGGGATGACTATGGTGTTGTCCCTTGGAGGTTGTGAATGCAAGCAGGAAAGTGACAGGGAGACATTGTGTTATATTTTGGTTTCAGTGTGATATAAAACAAGATTCACAATGAACAAAGACATGTAAGTTCTATACACTTTGTCTTTGCATATAACCTCGTGAATTTTTGATGTGATCTTAACTTACCAACTACAACTAGTAGAAAACCAACATGTGTCGAGCTGGACTTGTCCAAGTCACAGTGGAATCAAATTGATCGGCCAAACACAATGCTTTCAGTCTATTGACAATGTTACTGTATAATGAAGAACTGTCTGCCAGCTCAGTGGGACATTGGAGGTTAGCCAGCCATGTCAATCAAACCATTGAATACATATTCTATGGCTTAGTCAATACCAGTCTCATTATATGTGGGTACTACAAATACGCATGAAATAGAGACATCCTTGTAAGTACCAGCCTGACGGTGTTGTGCTTTGACATTAATGAAGCTTGTCACCCTGCTCCTGCTGCCCTGCAGCTACTCTTGCTAGTACTGTACCCTTCAAGGGCTGCCATCAAAAGGTTAAAGAGAGTATCCATGGTCCACCCAGTGGGTGGTACAAGCATGCTCCCACACCAAAGTACCACATGCTCAAGCTCAAGATTGCTGTGACAATCATATTGACTCTAGCCTGCAAATGGTAGTTTTTACTATACTTCTCTTGTTGTTACTTTCCTTAGGTTATGTTCGCATTTTTATTGCTTATATAATCATCTTCCCTTTACCTAGGACTCTACAGTTACTACTCAGTTTCCCCTAGTCTCCAGTTCTTGGTTGCTCCCCATTCACTTGGGTTATTTAGTAGCATCCCCTAGTTGTAGCTTCCTAGTTGTAGCTTCTCAGCTCACCAGATAGCTCCTGGAACATAGTTTTCTGTCCTTGGCCTGAAGTGTCTCCCTTTCACTCATTTTATCTCATGAGCTTGAGCCTAGTCCACTGATTCCCTTGGGTCAAACATTCTTGCTTGCAGGTGTGGCAGCTAGGCAGAGCTTTGACCATTATACTGGCTGAGTACTTTTACCAAGTGCCCAGTCAGGTTGTATCTTTCACATTGCTCTTCCTCAGCCCAAGTTCTCTGAACTTGAGCAGCACCTCTGGGAGATAAGTGATCCAAGCCACACACATTATGGGGCATACTTGTTGAAGCAGGAGACTGAAGTACTCATGACTCCCCACCCTGAGACTCTGGACGTTGTCAGCTGAATGGCTTGCCTCATGGTCTGACAGAAGAAGATGTTATCATTTCATCTGCATGTGATTGAGTTACTATTCATGTCCCAGTTGGTCTCACAGAAGAGATGCTGGATACTGTGAGCAAGGCAATGTCACCTTTGGAGATTATGGTTTATTGACTAGTTGATGTCTAGACTTACCATGTTTACAAGCATGGTGAGACAGGAGAGAGCATCCTCTGGACCATGAGCTACAGTCTCCTTGACATATTGCACCATCACATTGAGTTTATTCAGCCTATGACCATGTTTGCTCATTTGAAGGCATTTAAGAGCATGATAAACTGGGCTAACCAGGTACAACCTGCGGTCTTGAGCCTGCCGGGCAGAACAATCACAGGGCCTGCAGGCAATCCTGTTGATGCGAGCTGCAACTACACAATCACCCTTTCTTGCTTGAGGCAGTTGTATAATACAGAGAACTATAAAACAACTACCACAAACTGCAACAAACTAGGTATCACTAGGTTTTATTGGCCAGTATGCCAATGATAAGGACCTTCAGCAATTCTACCAGGACCAAAATCCTTCTGCTTACAGTTCAAAGTACACTTTGGTTTCTATTCATGGTGGGTTGCAATCCAGGCTCCATCCATATTATGTTGTTCATTTGCTTCACAGGCAGAAAAAACAACTGTTAAGAACCATGTTGCTCAAAGGAGAGAGAGACTGACTCAGAGGGGCTTGGCCTCAGCTCATATGCTGTGCCCCTTACCTGAGTATGTGCCCTTCATTTCATATGAGGTCTGATGATGGTCTGATGAAGTATGGAGGACTTCTGGAGGAGCGTGGGAGAGTTCCCACTGCAAGGTAATACTTCTACAGGAAACAGGATGGAAGGATAGGAGGTCCGAAGGTCTGGAGGACAGGAGGACAGGAGGACAGGAGGATGGAGGACAGAAGGGCAGGATGACAGAGGACAGAAGGACAGGATGTCCAAAGGTACAGAGGACAGGAGGATAGGACATCCTGAGGGTATAGGAGGACAGGACACCCAGAGGTCTGGAAGGAATAGGGGCTACATCGGATGGAGTCTGATGTAGAAACAAACAGAGGTAGACTACCCTAAGGTAGAGTTGGAGAGAACAGGGATTGGACCTAAGTCCAGAAAGAGGGTCAGTGCCAGAAAAGCAAAGCTCCAGCCTAGGGAATCAATCCCTAGGCCTGATGGATAGGACAGACTTAGGTGGACCAAAGTCTGAGAGAGGATTGGGCAAGTAGAGCAAAGTCTAAGATGATATTCAAACTGAGGAACTACAGGAGTATCTACAGGGGTTATATACTGGACAATATCTGAGGGGATCAGTAAGCAAAGGAGCAGGGCTATGTATGAGCATGTGGAAACACATTAGTAAGTAAGATGGAACATAACTAAATGAACTTGGAGATGAAGACTCATACAAGGATCAATCAGCAAGACAGAATGGGAGGTAACTGAAAGCCAGAAAGGCAGAGATGTCTAAATGGAGATAGGCACAGGATATTGGACAGAGGGCAGGAATACATCCAGAGATAGTTATGGTTGATATCTGGAGGTCCGGAGATCTGAGGATCCGGAAGGTGAGGTGGATACAGGACTGGGATATGATGAGGTGGATATAGTCCTGAATCTGAGATGAGGTGAAGTCTGGATGTCTTGCTGGAGGGAGTGCACATAGGGTGGACAGGATAGGGTGGTACAGATCAGGCTAGCAGTGAGGATCCAGAGGTCCAGAGCTCAGGGGTAAATCCAGAGTAGAGTCGATCCTACTAAGGTGTGGAGCACACAGTGGAAGGGGATCTGGCAATGAGTCAGATATGGGGTCCGGACGTAGGCTTGGAAGGCGTGAGAATATTATGGAATGTGAGTCCGGATTGTGGGATATGACAACAACCAGAGCTATGAGGCGGCAGGTTCAGAAGCCAACCTTGACACTCAGTTTGGTTTCAGACTCACATGGCCCACTCCTGGAATGTTCTACACAACTGGTGGCAAGCCCCCTTACATCCCCGACCTGCTGATGCTGAATAATACAAATGAGCCATACACATACATGCATTCAAGCCATCATGATTACAACTTAATGTATTGATGACTACAATCTCAGTAGCTTGAGCACTTACTTTCACAGAATGATATTCCTCAAATGATCTCTACCAGTTATGGTGATGATGAACAGACTGTCCTGTGTGCTTATGCGATCCACGTTTGCACTGGTATGGCAGCTCTTGGTGCTTGCAGAGTCTCTTTGTTGTTCTCCTCTGGTGATTGTGGCATTGGTGATACGAATAGTAACCCTGCCATGCAGGTGTGTGAGTCCAATGACAGGCATAATGTTACAAAATTCCTGCCAACATTCCCCACTTCCCATCCATAGTGAGTGATCTCTTTAATCAAGGAGCACAGCAGCCAATTTTGACCAAAAGTGTGACTTCTGTTGGTGGTGTTGTCAGCATCCCAGAGATTGCTGTTCCATTCTCCAGTGGTGGATTCAGCAATTATGTAAGTAATCTCTGCTGAAAAAATCTTCTGACCCATACATTACAATTGTATAAGTTTGCTCATCCTGTGTACCAGGAGGCTGCTGTCTCTGCATACTTGGTGATGCTTGCTCCTCACACCTACGAAGGTCTCTACAACTCATAAGTTAGTAAAAATTGACAAATGTACTATGCACAGTTGACCTACTATCTCCAGCACCGGATGTGTATGTTGACTCTTCAACCTGCAAATATCTCATGGCAACCATACTTCTAGGCATCTCCTGATGTGGCAGCACAATCAGACTATTTCTCTACTATTTTTCAAGGTCAGAAGAGTCTAGCCATTGGTACATCTTGTGCTGTGCCCACATTTGCTGTGTTTGTGTCCATGCTGAATGATGCATGCATCAATGCTTGAAAGGCTCCTCTTGGCTTTCTGAATCCATTCTTATATTCCATTGGCTACATGGCATTAAATGACATCACTGATGGGAATAACCCAGGATGCGGAACTCTGGGATTCAATGTAGGTTATGTCTATATATTTCAAGTCACATTACTAATGTGATACCTGAATGCAGGCCACTGTTGGATGGGATCCTGGTGAGTTCATGAAGACAAACAAATTCATGACATGTCTACATGCTGATCATACCTGTAGTCACTGGATACAGCACACCCAACTTCAAGAAATTGAAGGACTTGGTCTTGGCCATGCCTTGAAATATATATGCACTAAATCTGTATCAGTAGACAGGATCATGCATGTATGTGCATTGCATACATCCACTCCTGCAGGCCTTTAGGACAGTTTTATATAAGTGGGAAGACTATACTGAGTGATTCAAGGCAGTGACCAATGCCAGTGGACAATAAAACTGAATAAAATGTGCCTTGTGGGAAGAACTCAAGATTTATTGAAGATGAAATCACCAGCAGCTTCAAAATCAATGAGTAGCAACAGTAGCCATTGGACATTGGACAGACAAGCCTAAGTAACTCTGTACATGCTGGACATTGCCAAAGTACTGTATATTACCAGAGCACTAGTAGGCTTTACATGCTAGCTTTGTGTGTGGATTAAAATTTATTGAATCATTTGTTGTTTTTCCTTGACATGAATGTAGATCTGGCTGCAATCCACAAGTGTTTCCATTCCCTGCAGCATGCAGTGCCGACTCAATCAGCACAATATTATATTTCATACAACATAAAGTTTTAGCCCCAGATCTACTATTCTATCACATAAGGGTGCCTTCTGGACTTTGTCAACTTGCACACTTGAAACATGAATCTTGAACCTAAATTGTCAATGGCCACGGTAGCCGGGGATGAGATCATGTCTACCTTGCCAGAATGATTCATCACCTCTCTAAAAGGCTTAATTTGTTGTCTTGTTACAATGTAAGACTGCGTGGCCTGAGCTTGCCACAGAACAGATTGGGCATGGGTGTTAGCCTCATGTTGATGATGCCCTTCCAGCCTGGCCCTTTTTACTGATTACTATCATGTCTTGTGCCAGTAACTTCAGGATAGAACAAACCACCAGAACATTAATCTTGTTTCTGGACTCTCACACAACTTTTCTGTTTGAGTTCACTTGTTGACTATTTACAAAAAGCTCCACAGGTTCCTCATGTGCTCATATCAGTTCTTATCAACTATTGATGGGTCGCTGCATGGTCTCAGGTTACAAATTACTTTCCCATACTAAGGTAGACTATCCTTCCTTGTATATCATGATTACAAATTGATTTATAGGTGCCTTTCCTTGTTGTAAATAGAGTTATGGTACTGCAAGAGCCCAGGGTTCCATTTTCCATTGTCCAAACTCCAGATTGATGATGGAAATGTTAGCAGCCTGGGCATTCTTCAGCTCATTTCAATGACAGCACAAGTTTCAGCTATTTTGCTAAGATATGTTGCTTCTGTCCACAACACTGTGGGAAACACAACAAGAAGAGAACTGGAAAGTAGCCTTCTAAAGTTGGGTCAAATGTGCTATGCCTAGCTGCTATTCAACCCTAAAGGGTTTCTGGACTAAGCTCAGTGCTCAGAGAGGATAGGAAATCATGCTAATAACTCTCAGTCTCAGACTGGTACTAGTAGGTGGTGAAAACTATGATGATTACATAAGCACCAAAAGTGTGAACTTATGTTGAGAAATTTACAGTGGTGCTCAGCCAAAATGACACACAAGTGCATGTGACTTTGATCAATTCCCTTTTTTAGTCAGGATTTACTGACCTTGCTGGCACATGACCAGGTTCCTGTGATGGCATGAGTTCTGAGTGAAAAACAGAGTGCCAAAAGGAGCACAGCACTCATGAATTAATGATAGTGAGTGATATGGTAGTTGGGACATGATTAATGACAGCAAGTTGTAAGTAATATGCTAAACAGTCAGCTGAAGTTTAAAAAATGATTGCAGTGTCAATGGGAGTGTCATTTATTGTGAGAGATGTGGTCCCCTCATGCACTGCATGCCTTGTTCATGGCCTTCAGGAGTTGGGTGTGTCCAAGCTCAGCCTCTGGATAGGCTGTGAGGAAGCATGCCTTGTTTGACTCATACCTAGAACCGAAACAGAAGGTGAGTAGTACTGGAATAGCAGATACCAGCAGAGACTTACTGATTGATAAATTCTAGCGCAATGGTTGCCCTTTGGTGGTACTTTGATGCAAACTGTCTATTTGTGCCTTGGTACCACTCCCTTGGCCAATCTTTCAATGGCATAATGAGTCCTCAGTCCCAATCGCCAACTAGCCAGTGCTCAATGATCTCCTTCCAAGATTTATTCTTCGGGCTGGAAGTGCTGTCAGGATGAGTGACTGGGACCTGAGGGATCACAAGGCCAGGTGTAGGAAGTTTCTGCTGGGAAATGAATGCTGTGGCGGGGACTTGGGGCTGTTGTGATGTGTTGGAGGTGGACAGGGCTACAGTAGGCATTGGGCTGACAGCAGGTCTGTATGAGAGTGGCTGTTGAACTGTGCCAACAGGTGGAGGAGTTGTTGTGTGAGAGGCAGGCTCAGAGACATTGGTGAAGTGGTGGCTGGAATCAAGGTGTTGGAGGACAATAGCTGTGGCGCAGGCAGCCTGCACTACAACACTTGTTAAGGAGCACATATCATTGTACAGGCCATTGACATCTGCTGCAACAGATGCATGCACCATGTGAAGCTCCTCTGTGAAAGCTGGTCTGGTAAGTGCATGTTCACTGGCAAGGGAGGCATCAGCATCATGGGAGATGGGGGCAAGGGTATCGCTGTAGTCAGTCTCATATGCATGTAGTTTATTGAGAAGGTATCAAATGAGTGTATCACACTGAAAATAGACACAACAAGGGAAAAAATAGCTGTGTCAGTCAAACATCAGCTGTAAGCACAGGAAACATACATGCTCACCATCAGCCCATCCATCCTACCAACAAACTTTTGCAAGCATCCATCATTGACCTGCTGGAGAAAACATGAACCAATATTGTGCACCTCCCTGATGAAAGCAGTGAGTAGAGAAGTTACCACAGATACCAGCACCAGTGGTGGACTCATTGATCCATTTTTGTACAGTATCGTAAGAGATCAGCTGGCCAGGATGTACAACACCATTTACACTCATGGCAGGGAAGAGGAAGTTGTTTGACTGGAGGGTGCATCCATAACAAAATGATTCAAGCCACTTGATCCAAACCATCGTCCAGAAGAAACTATTGCATGCTAGTGCATCAGGATGTGGATATATCTTGTAGTGATTTGCTGGTAGGGTCATTAAGTTAAGTCATGTGCTATCAGCTCCAATTTAATACAAGCAACTCACATCTCAAATCTGCTTCCCATTGGCCTTTGTCTACCTTCTTTTGCCATCCTTTCCAGTTCATGAGAAAGATCTCAAAGTTTGACGTGCACTTACTCAGTGTCAGTGTCTCATTTGCAAGGTACGTCTTGAGCACACCATCCAAAACAGTAGTATCAAGTGAGATGTCCTTTCATTGCAATTTGACAACCTCAAAACACCTACAGATATAGCAAATCAGATTGGTGCAAGTACCACAAACAAGCAGGATTGCACCTGGTCCATAATGTCCATCTGTTTGATGTGAATGTGATTTGCTTGAGATGGTGGGTGAGTTTTGTCCTCATTTCTAAGTCTAGACAAATATCTGAAGGCTGAGCACTGTTCATCACCTTCTGAACCATCTGCAGTGCAATATCTAGTGGACATGCAGCATGGTGCCATCAGAATGCCTGATCCATATAGTCCTTTGTCATTGCCATTGAGTGAGTCTGATCTCCACCCTCTGCACTTGCTTTATGTTTGATCGATGACAGCACATCATAGATATCTGTGGAATCAGCAGGGTTTCCTTCCCAGTGCTGTTTTGCCTCATTTAAATGCCATTTGCCATGATAGGTATCACCATCGCTGGAATATATGTCAGTACTTGCACGCCCTAACTCATCACAATACTGATGATAGCTCCCACATCTTCTTAAAGGCCAAATGGATGCTCTCAACAGTTGTTTTGCTCAGATTCTCATGGAATCCTTTCAGGGACATGTAGAGTGCCAGCACTTTGTCAGAACATCTGTTCAGTATGTTCTCAAATGCATCTTTGAATGCAGGGTCCTCATACACGTCATTGTCAGCATGTATTTTGGCAGTTATGAGCAATGGAACGAGTGAGCCTTCAACAATGTCATCCATCCAAGTCTCACTGACAGTAGAACTTTCAAAGTGGCTTGCCAGCCATTCCCGTCCATGACAAACATGCCTGGCATAGTTTGTCCTTGTGTTGCTTGCCTGGAGGTGAGTTTTAATACTATGTTCCTTACACCTCTGTACATCTGCCAAAGCCATCTTCTCAGCAGCTGATTTCTTTCGCCCAGCTTTCTTGTGAATGGGGTCTGATGGCTGTTTGGCTTCAGCAGAGTCCTTCTTTAGCTGGGTCATGTTCTGGAGGTCCAAACTGAATGAGTGGTGTAGTATGAAGCTAGTAGTTCAAATTTTTGGGATGGAGATTGTGTCAGGGGTGTTATGCTAATGCTAAGTCTGTGACACACAGACAAAACAGATAAGTAACATAGGACTTGGATTGGGGCTTGCACCAAGCCTGCTGCAACCAGCAAGTGTTTGTAGGTATGAGTTCACAGCAATTGATCTAGCTGTGAAGGCTATGATCGATTATCGATGATTACAACAGCAAGTTGTCAATCATTCTCTGTCCAAGGCTTAGGACATTGGCAGCAATGAGCTCCAACAAAGGTACTTGATAAAGAGGAGAGCTTGCTTAGGGCTCAAGGAGAAGACAGTATGAACTAAGTAGATTCAAGTTAGAGAATACAAGTGCTACCCATAAGGTATATATATTGTTGGAAGGGATAAGGGCAGGTCTGCTGTATTAGTGGTAAGGGTAGAGGGTGAATGAGTCACAATGAGTCAAGATACCAAAGTAAGTAGAAAGTACCAGTTGAGTGGTAAGGGTAAAGGGGACATGAGTCATGGTAAGTTATGATGAGTCAGAATACCATAGTAAGTAAGAGGGACTGGTTGGATGGTAAGGCATAGGGTTGGTGAGTCATTGGACGAACCAAAGATAGGATACAACTGACAGAACAGTTGGTGGAACGATCAAGAGAAAGAGATAGAACAATTGAGAAAGAGAAAAGGGGCGATCACCTGAAGAGGAAGGAGTCCAGTAAGGGTGAGAGCAAGGAAAATGAATAGGGGCTAAATAAGCAGATGTTATTGTAACAAGGGGCCTCTAGCCTCTAATTTATTCAATGCTATTTCACATTTCACCCCATTCAGCCTGAGAGCAAGCACAAATAATGATGATTGACATTTACACTATACAACAATTTATAGACTAATATACTGCTGTACCACTTCTGGTGCCATGTTCTGGAGTATCACCTTTGGAACAAGCATATACATGGCAGACAACTGGCCAGGAGTAGCGTTTCCCAGAGTATTGTGCCTTAAGTGCCAACAGTCAACCTTAATACTATAAACTTCAAGGTTGCACTGTAGGGAACAAGATTCCTCTAGGCATAGATCATGCATATTATGACTCATGACAATTGGTATAGTGTGCAACTCACTATCTATGACTTTCCCATGAAATGTGCCAGAGGCGCGACACTTTCCCACACATGCGCTCTTCCCATGCTCAGTCGCCTTATGTCATGCAGCATCCAGGAGCATCCATCCATCATCCAACCAGTTCCCTGGTGTGTCCCTTTTCGTTCATTTTCACTATCAGACCATTTCTGGGATCATACGATACTTTATTTCATTATGGACCCTTACTTACATCATTTTACAAACAGAATATACAACAACAACCACCATCCAGTAGCATCTAGCAGTCAGAATTATCATGAGTTAGCATCCATCAGAGTTGTCGCCCTAGTCCTCAGCCCAGTCTACTATCATCAGTCTCCACTCAGCAGTCTTAGCTCACGCCTTCACACCTTCTACCAGTCATTTATACGTTTGCACACTGTGTGCACCCTATTCCCATGCTTTGCACTCCTATGCGCTCCACATTCCCACATGCACGCTTCACCAGAGTTGACCTGGTGTCACCCAGTGGATCCTTGCTTTCTTTGCTTCCCTTAAGGGTCAAACATATCACCTGGCACACTTCAACCAACAATTTAGAGAGTCAGTAGGCCTTCCTCTCACCCCAGAGGTAGAGCCCTCTTTCTTTCTTTTGCTCTGCAGCCTAGCAGAGTTTTTGAACCTTCAGTGCCTCAATGCCATAAGCATCAACTGAGAAATGACTTTGAACTTCAGTTGAAGGTTTGCCTGGTCTGCGGAGTGCTGCAGCAACTAAAATACAAGTTAGTGGCTGCCTATGAAAATGGTATTGCTTACCTTGCATAAGGCACACAGATAGGCACCCTCCCATACACCCCCATACATCTTCTCAATGATTGCATCATCCTCCCAGCCCAAATGCTGACAGCAAAAGTCTATGAGACTTGCAAGATCTGGTTGGTAGAATGAGACATCTCAGGGAAGTGTCACTGCACCATTCCCAGTGGCCAAAAAAGACATGAGAGCATGAACATACTTGCTGACTACCACACACTGGGGGAAACCATGAGGAATGCGATCTGCAACTGCCTTGTACCTGTGCTCAAGGAAGTTGTAAGGATCAGTAGAAAGTAGGGTGTGTAGGTCATCAACAAGCTCCTTAGTCTGCTCAGAGAATTCATCCAGTATCAGCAACAGGAATGCATCAAGAACCATCTGGCCAATTTTACTATGTAGCACCACCTTGTGTGCAATTTCAATACCACAGCCAGGCACACCCTTATCATAATCACCACCTGCGAGTAGGGCAATAAGCAGCCAGTCTCCTCAGCTTAATGAGCAGCTGTGTTCAAGGCCATCCTCCATGAACACCTGGACATTGAGATAGTCTTTGTTGTTTTTCGCACTAACAAGAATCAACAGCAGCATATCAACAGGGAAATGGCAGCATACCTTCTAATAATACACAGAGCTCCAAAGATCAAGATATCACTGTCCTCAGTCATCACAGCATCAATCATGCCATGAACATTCATGGTGGCCAGTTCTGCTTCAGCTTCACTCAGGACCTGGTATGATACTGGTGAGACAGCAACATCATTAGGGGGATGGAACATACTTCAGTCCAGTGAAAGCCAAACAACTCCAGCATGCACTGGAAGTCATGAGTGAGCCAGTGGGGGCTGCTTCTAACCTTGTGACCTTTGTCTGGCAAGTGCTCAAGGCCATCAAAGACAAAGACTGCATGCAGCAGCAGCTTCAGCAGTGTCCAGAGTTGAAAGAACAGTGTCCACAGCTCTAGTGACTTTCCAGCTCCTGCATGGTTAATTTAAAAGACAGCACAGACGCTGTGCATCCACAGGCTAACAGCATGAGTGAGTTCAATGAACATGCAAAAGAAGAGAAGTGTCATACCTAGCATCAATCCCAATCTTGAATAATCAGAGCCTGTGGTCACCTTTGACATCTTCAGTCTTCAGCTCTGACACTGCAAGCTCCTTGAGAGTTTGGTTTTCAACAGATAAAGTAACTCACTGTGATGATCATTAGTACCCTTAGCCCAAAGCAAGAAGATCTCCACTCACCTCCCATAGTCCATGGATTCCCATAATGAGTCATGATAGTAGTAGACAACAATAAGAGTTTCTTGAAAGGGGGTGAATAGAAAGGGGTGGATTCAGACATCACCTGACCACCAGTAGTCTGAAATAAAACATGAGCTTAACGATACAAGGAATATGTGTAGAACCACTGACAAGGACAGGGCACTCTGCTCACATGCATGAGCCTTGACAAGAGCAGTATAGATGGTGTTTGCAAGTGAGAACTTGGCGAGGTCCTTGGTAATGTTGTCCTCCATTTTGTATGCCCAGAATCCAGTAGACTCCTTCAATGCATTCTTGCCCCAATGACATTGCCAGCAGCATCAGTGTAGTTGGGGATGTCACAACCAATTGTTAGATGCAGTCTGCAAGTACAACAGTTGTATTTTGGACTTGTCACAGATGACCAGTGTAAGGATCCACAATCCTTTATGCACAGACCTTACCTTTACATCAAAACAGCAACACCTGTCCATGTGACTCATTGATACAAATAGGCTCAATGCTTCATATCCAACTTACGTGGATACATTCCTTCATCTCCCTTTTTCCATTGTCTTTCATTACTTTACCTTGTGCTCAGACCTCACCATCTCCTTGTTTCACCAAACTATTTTCACCTCACCATATGCTTCATGTTCTCGTTCCAGCCTAGTCAAGTATTCAAAAACATATATATACTGCTCATGTACTCTCCTACCTACAGCAAATCTTAGAGTCAGATCCCCACTCCAAGTACAACCAAAAAGTCCCTCAGAAAGTCTCTACCACAGCTGTTCCCAACTCATCTCAAAAACTATCCAGCTCATCTCACTTCAGAAATCATTTTTGCTCGCAATTCCCTACCAAACTCTCACTAAGCCTTACACCAGCGAAGCTATGATGTCAGTCCAGCACCCAAAGAACTGGTCAGTGACATGGCAGGAAGCAATGATGTTGGTCCAACACCTAAAGAACCGGTCAGCAACATGGCGGGAAGCAATGATGTCAGTCCAACACTTGCAGAACTGGTCAGTGACATGATACAAAGCAATGATGTCAGTTCAACACCTGCAGAACTGGTCAGTAACATGATATGAAGTCATGATGTTGGTTCAACACCTAAAGAAATGGTCAGCAACATGATATGAAGCCATGATGTCTGTTCAATACCTAAAGAAATGGTCAGTGGCATGGTATGAAGCAATGATGTTGGTTCAACACCTAAAGAACCAGTCAGCAACATGGTATGAAGCCATGATGTCCATTCAACACCTACAGAACTGGTCAGCAACACAGTATGAAGCTATGATGGTGGTTCAGTACTCACCAATCAAACCCCAAACCGACTACCTAGGCTTACAATTTGAAAGCACCACACAACCCCATCAATCTGGAAGAGTAAAAATAGAGTCAGCATGAATAAATAAAAAATAAAAAAATACCTTCTCCAGGAGAGTTGTTGATGTTGTTGGAGGCGTTCACCTGCGGTATTGTGCATGGCAGTGACTAGAGAGTTGCACAGTGTGGAGGAAGGTAAAGTCACATGATCAACACACCTAAGCCACCCATTTATGGTAGCTGTGTAGGATGAGGAGGAGGGAGAGGAGGGTAAGGACATGTTACATGTAAAGTACTGTAAAGTGCAATTTTGAGTGGGTAAAGTGAGTAAAGTGCAGGAGAAGGAGAAATACACTGTAAATTTTGTAAATTTTGTAAATCTTGAACTTCTGGGCAGGCTCCCAGCTGGGTGCAGATGCACCTGCCAACATTGTAATTTTTTTTTGCTTCCATGATTAGGTGCCTGGTGGATGATCTATATTAATATGCTGTTAACTTTATGTATATTGGTGGCAGTCAACACCTGAGCAGTCTGCTTGGTCTGCCAGACTTGGATAGTGATTTGACTCAGTGACTTGCATTGATACAAGAAGAAAAAACATTTAATGCTTGCAATTTTCTATTACTAGTAATTAAATGTTCAACACTATGTACTTTGGTCCTGGCTCATCATTGGTGGAAACACATGTTAGCACAAGCAACTCATGTGCCAAACCCTAAGTTAGGTGCATGTGGCAGCACAATGCAGAAGTTCAATCATGTGGTCACGTGACATTGGATTCCTTTTTTTTTCAGTGAATCTTAGACAAATCCCCTTTACAGAATTTACATTAGCTAATCATAAATTTCTCCAGATATCCCAACTTAACACTAAGTAATATCTGTGTATACAAGCCCACAGTAAATGAAATCCCTACAACACTGACCTGTCACGTCATAGAGCACTTACTAGCCTCATGTTGATGATCATCTTGTGATCATCCATATTCACCACAATCACCTAATGTGTTAAGGTCGTACTCAAGGGTTAATGGATCCTAAGGGCTTCAGCCTCAGCTCGTGCACTGTGCCCCTTACCCAAGTATTGCCCCTTATTTCAGGAAGGCAAGACTAACACGTCCAGAAGGTCAGATGAGTAGCATAGTGGATCCAGATGACTTCTGGATGCAGGATAAGTATCATAGGGCTAATCTGGACGAGTCCAGACTAGAAACTAATGGTAATGGACTGTCAAAGACAGAGGTGGATACAGATAGACTATGGGAATCAATCCTAAGTCTCAGAGGGTGATGAGAGTAGAGATACTCAAGTCCAGAGGACAGGAATGAGTAGAACTAAGATGATATTTGAACTGAGGTGCTACAGAGCATTACAGGAGGTTATATACTATAGGTATCTAACGGAATGATCAATCAGCAGAGTCCAAGGCTATGTACAAAGCATATGGATAGTCTATTGGTAAGTAGAAATGGATCACAAATCATGAAATGGAAATGAAGCATAGGTAATGGATCAGGGACTAGGACGGATATAGAGATAGCCAAAATACCAGAGTTAGGGGATTACCAAAAGGAGACAAGCGCTGGTTGTGGATTCGGATGAATTGTGGACCAGACCAGATGAGTGGACAGATTGGATGACGAGATGTTGGAGGGAGATAAGATGTGGATCTGATGAGATCAGATCTGAGATCTGGATATGCAGATATGACATAATGCCTCATGTACTTCACACCAGTTCTTATCAATCATCATTGATGGGTCACTACAAGGTCCCAGTGTTGCAAATGGGCTATTGGGCATCTTTCTTTGATTTAAATTGAGTCACAATGCTGCTAGGGTTTCATTTCACACTGTCAAGATGGATCCCATTACCAGTTGTCTCACCATCCTTCAGCTTGTTCAAATGATAGTGCAAGCTTCAGCTCTTTTGTTAGGATATGTTGCTTCCATCCACAACACCAACTTGACTTCTTAGAACCTGCTTAACAATTTTAGCTCAATTGGCAGAGTCCTGACTACTGTTATGGAGATTGAGAAAGATGGCTCTCTTCCAGAAAATCTCCATCTTGCACTTTCAAATCTGATGGCCAACAGCAGACCAGTCACAAAATTACAAATGGAACTGAAGAACATTCTGCCAAGTGAGCACAAAAGCAGGAAACTAAAAACGACAACCAGAATAGTGTGGCCTTTCAAAGAAAAGGTGGCAGGTGCAATCATCAATAAATTGAAGCAATACTGTGGCAAAATTACAAAAATTCTAGCAATAGATACATGGTGAGCTGACTCACTTGTTATGATCGTCAATACTAATACATTGTAAGGATCACACTCAATGAAGTCAATTGAGGCCTCAAGAAAGTCAACCTAGGAGTCCAGGAAGTTGGTCAAGAACTCCAGGAATTAAAAGTAGCACAAGAGGTGCAGGAGAAAGGTGAAATGGTAAGCACCAGTTGCCTTCTCACCCTATTCAAAAAATTTGTGTAGCTTCGAAACATCAAAGGCTCCTTCAATGGATGAACCCAGTGCCTTGCATTGAAAAGCACAATATCTCCCGTCAGGAGCACAACACTGCGACCTGTCACTGGATTTTCCAGGCTGAGCAGTATAAGATCTGGAATAATTCTGAATGTGCATTCCTATGGTTGAATGGCCAACATTGGGTTTATTATATTTACCATTAATTGCAGGTTACTGACATTTGAAACAGCTGGGGGTGGAAAGACTATCCTTGCATAAGTTTCAACAGATTTGAAGGGTCTTAATTGACTTCTGAATAATCAGTTCTGCTGTCATTGACGAAATTCAGGATGGTGGGCAAACCAAGCCCCAGATGCTTACCTACTTTTATTGCAATTTCAGAAATGACAAGATGAGAATTGCAGCTGCAGTGTTGTGATCTTTGGTTGTTCAGCTTCTCTGGCAACCTAAAAATGACTGGATCACCAAGATACATGAGCAAAAGCAACAAGGTTCGAATGCAGAAGTGGTTTTGGTTTCACTGCACAAGCTACAACAGCAACAATATAATGGAGATTGTTGTCCCACAGATCTGGGATTTCTATGAAAGCTTCTTGTTGAAGTGTCTAAGCTAGTTGACCAACCAGTCCTTATAATCAATGCCTTAGATGAATGTAAGGACCACTGTGATCTTATAGGACATCTTGTAAAACTCCCTGAAGATGCTCAACTATGACTCTTTGTTACCGGTCAAACTGAGTCCAACATCACAACAGCCTTCCATCATCTCCCCATCATGTTGCTGAAGGACAGTGCCAAACAAATGCAAGAAGATATATGTGCACACATTGCTAAGCAGCTGATGACTCATTCACATCTGTCACACCTATCTGAAACACTCAGAACAGCTATTTTAGAGAAATTATTAAAGAAGGCCAAGTGCATGTGAGCAAAGCAGCTTTCACTTGCTCCTTGAAAATTTATCATCATGTGATCACATACAGGTTTCACTGGGTTCAGTATCAACTAGATGTGATATTGAAGTGCAGAAGACCTGATAGTGTTCAGAAAGCCCTTGATGACCTTCCAGAAGGACTATATGAAGCATATGATAGAATTATTCACTCCATTGAGGAGAGGGGACACAATGATGGCCAAATTTCCAAGAGCTGCTTGCTTTGGCTCGCCAGCACACTCTCCCCTTTGACACTCGATCAACTCAATGAAGCAATAATGATCAAGGCTGGACAGTCAAGTCTCAATATGGACCTTGGTGTGATGGACCCTATGGATATTGTGGTTGTGTGCAGCAGCCTTGTGACCTATGATGAGGCAACTGGCATCATTTCTCCATCTCATTACAGTGTAAAAGTATGATATATTAACCCACTTCATGTTATTCATTCACTGATGTGCTACACAACCAGGAATATCTGATCAGCCAACACCCAAATAATATCCTGAAATTGATCTCAGATGTGCATGTGCATATTTGTGAACTTTTGACATGTATATGTTATGTGACTCCATGTATGTGTATGCAAAAGGTATGATGCTGTGTTCCACAGTTAAAAACTATGGAACTGAAGGTGTTTGTATAGCTACAGGTTGTGACGCAGGCTCTGCCTCTGCTGCCAGTGGTGAAGCAAGCCATCCATTGCTGAGTTATACAGTTAAAGCATTGATGCACCTTTGTCATGTTTTGGAGAAGGAACCTCATGTTATAGCTGCCCTGCAGCAGCTACACATGGCATTGCTTCACAACACAGATAAACATCCCCTACTTGAAAGTCTAGTTCAACCATTAACAGATGGCGTGCAGCTGAGTGTTGCTTCCCTTTCACTTCTATTTGTCCCTCTTCAGTTCAGAAAGCCATGGATGGTGGAAACTCTCATCAAGGAGCAACCTGATCTCCTGGGAGTAGATGTTGCCTGTGGTTTAGGCCCTCCCTTGCTTTTTGCCATAGCCTCAAACCCCATCTTTCTCAATGTTCTCCTGGAACTTGGTGTCAACCTCAACAAATCTTCTTCAATCCGAACCAATTTGTACCATCAGTGGGATCTTCCCTCAGGTTCCTTTGCCCCAATTTCATGGGCAGCTGCAATCAGAAGCCAAGTAGCTGTGGAGTTCTTGCTGTCACAAACAGAGGTCAAGCTACCTGTTGACATTCCGTATATGGCCATTGAGTCCAGGCAGCAGTCCTCAAAAATCATTCATAAATTGTGTCAATGCAGTGCAGATATCAATTTCACTGTTGATGGCTCCACCCCTCTTCATGCTTTACTTTCCAGCCTAAGATTGAGGCTCAGAGCTGATCAGCATCAATGGTTACTAGTCATAAAAGTGCTCGTTGGTGATCTTTCTGTGGATGACTGGACCACCAGAACTGCACTCCATATTGCTCTTGATAATCATCTGAGTGATATTGTCATATACCTCCTTGAGCAAAATGCATGGCTGACAGCAACAGTGACCCTCCATCCAAACATTTGGAGCTGGACTAAGAGCAAACAGTGGTTTGCCAAGGTTCAAGCAGTGACTCTCACTGCTGCCCAACCACACACCAGGATTATGGGGAAGATTGTTGATGCCACATGGCAATTGCAACTCATCAAATTTCCAAGCACAGTCACTACCAATCATGGAGACCCCAATCCTATTTGTGCTGTTGTTGTTTCTGTCATTGACAGGAAGCTATACAGTTTGTTCAGGCAGATTGTCAGCTTGGAGGCTGACCTTTCACATGGTAAATTGTTGCTTTGAAATAACATCCAAGAGTCCCTTGAAAACAACAAATCTGCTCGACTCAAGTTTCACTTTTCATGGCTACAGATCTGTCAGTGTCTCTAGCCAGCTGTTGGACTATCATCAAGGAGACACAGTTACCAGTGTTCTATGACAGTTAACCTGAGATAAAGATTCAACTGAGGATTCCCTTTTTCTTCAATTATCCAAAACAGAGGAGTGGTGCCACATAACCTTTGATGATCTGGAGTACATACTTGATATCTACCAAGGTCATCTGGATTAGTTTTGCATCTTATGGGTGGCCACATACTACAGTACTCTATGAGTGCTCTGCCAGTGTTCACATACACACATCTCACATAACTTCATGGATTGAACTGTTGTAGAGATTTAACACTAGTCACAAGAACCACAAGAGAATTGACAAAGAATGGCCTCCAGCAACTACTCAGGAAAAATGTAGGTGGGAAGAACACAAGTTCTGTCAAGGATAAACCACATACCATCTTTGGGAGCATTTGGAAAATGTGGATGACAAGTGCCATGGGCAAACTCTGCACAGATCAAAGTCCAAGAAGTGGTCAGATATATCATCATACATACTGCTTTATATGGCATATCCAACCATGTGCTACGAATCCTTGGTCCTGAAAAATGTGCGCACTGCACAATCTGAATATTGAATATTGGATGCATGTGACATCACGCAGTTGTCTTTTTTTTAAGAAAAAGTGAGGCCTTCTGATTCATTATGTGCAAAAAGAAACCAAGACTAATCATTAGCGCACTGAAATATCCAAGGACAGTCCACCTACCAGTCAGTTCTGGCATGGTAAGACGGTATGATGAGACTTGTGTATCCGAGGAGTCTGAATTATCCAGGAAATGGCCGGAGATAGGCTATGTGAACGAGCAGACTTGATGCAGAACCCGACAAAGAACTCAAAATTTCAGGAATCAGGAGCGTGTCCGTGTGAGCATCAGCCAAAGCGCGCATTTCACTGAGTAGTGTGACGCAGTTAGAGTCCTGCGATCCCAACACACAGTCAAAAACACGTTTACAGGAAGAACGCATGATGTATCGAAGGTGATACCACCAGCGGATGTGAACTACAGTCTTAGGCTCTGCAGGCATCTCAACGAGTAGTGACAGGTATATAGCACGACGTGCCGTGCTCGAGCTCTGTCACTACTCGAAACATGAACCGCATCGCCGAGTGGATGACAAGCACCAAACAAGCGCAGTCTAAACAGACCAGTCGGACATTGCCGAAGTACTGTATATTACCAATCAGCCACAACCCTCCGTGCAGCGATTGGTGTATTGACGCGGCCCAAACGACCTCAAGACCTCTGCTCAAGGTACATCTCATCGCTGTCTAACACAAAATAATGCTAATGTTAACGTGGACTTTGCACAGGCTCAAAATAATGTAAGTCCAGACAGCAAAATCCCAGGAAAGTCTTGACGGAACTGACTAACGAAACCCCATCAACAGCTCCCCAAATGGCTCAACGCGTCACCCTCCGTAAACGCCAACCCTACAACACCACCTCAAGCCGCAGACGCATCGTAAAGACACCAGGTGGAAAACTCGTATACCACCACCTCAAGAAACTTCCTACTCAGCCAAAATGCGGTGATTGCGGTATTGGTCTTCCTGGTGTACGTTTCTTTTCACTAGGTTGTTGATTAGAGTTGATTTTCGTTTGTGGTGGTTATAGGTCCCTGCTCTCCGTCCCCGCCAATATGCAACGATTTCAAAGCGCCAAAAGACTGTGTGCAGGGCTTATGGTGGTTCGCGATGCGGAGACTGTGTCAAGTCGCGGTGCGTTTCTTCGTCACTTCATGTCTCTCTTTATCTAAACTGTGTGTGAACAGCATCCTACGAGCATTCCTTGTCGAGGAGGCAAAGATAGTCAAGAAGGTCATCAAAAGCCAACAGAAGGCAGGAGGCCGCAAGTAAATAGTAATACTTTGGTCTTTTGGAGTGGTCGTTTTATGACTATGGATCCTCATGCATTTTTCATTTCGTTTGTCACATCCATGTAGAACCGCACCATCAAAATCCAGACCGAGGTTAGTATGCAGTCGTTTGAACGTGCGATGTCGTGCAAGAAGAGGCACAGTCAATGCCCCTCGAGTGGTCGAGTGGTATTACATAGGAATCTGGAGCATACAACGTGATATTTTAAGATATCAGAAAAATGTCCCACAAACAGATCCATGAAAGATTCGTCGCATCCCTATCCTCGGTCCTCGGCAAAGTGTAGCGGTCGGGGTACGCTAGGTCCTTCGTAGTCTGAAAAAGGGTCGTCTTCCTTCTTATCATCCTTCTCAAGCCCATGTCCATACTCTCCGCCCGCGTAGGTGTAATCGGGAGGCTTGGCGTCTGAAGGTGGGGGTCCAAGCGGTGGAGCATAGGCTGGTTGGTATTCGGGATCATAAGGTCGGTTATAGTGCGGTGGGAAAAGGTCCAACCGCGCCTGGTTCGACGGTGCCCTCAAGGCATTAGCAGGGCTCATAGGATCAACCACTTGACGGTAATACGCAAAAGCGGTAGATGTGAACAATAGGCAAGCAACTTCAAAATTGTTAGCTCTACATGTAGACTCAACAGGTGTCATACGCACTGATCTCGAAGATAGTAGACACGATCTCACTCCATGAATCACGGTTCCATTCGTCATTGCAATCTGCAGCAAGGTAAGATTCCGATGGAAGAGTCACGTACCAACACTTACAAGACGTGGCGTCGGCGCTGCTCATCGGCGTAGGGTTGGAGGCCCATATTCCGAATGCCTACTCACGAATAAGTCATGCATCACAACAAGCTGTATGAAAACACCAACACTATCCACTTCTCCATTCACTGAGATACTTATGCATTCATCTATGAGTTCACCCTACCCATCGTCAGCCAAAACGTTCAAAACGAGTAGTTAAGTAAACTCACCTTGTAAGTGAAATGAGTGATGCAGCGCATGAGGCCGACACCAACGACGAGAAGACCCGCAATACCGCTCAAAAACGCATACATCCTAACCATCCAGGCACGTTGCTGTGAGGTTAGTATTAGCGCTGGGACGACGTCATTGCATTGCGCAACAACTCCGACTCACAGTCAACGAGCTGTAAATGCCAAATATCTCTATCGCGAGACAAACGCAATAGAGGACGCCTTGAGCTATAGCTAGTGGGGCGAGTTTAGGATAGGCGCCTGTGGCACAGGGTTAGTGAGCTCGGGTATGTATGTACTGAAACGAAGGGATGACCAACCGTTTTGGTCGACTTGTAGCTCTTTGAAAGATGCAACCTGCGGGAAAGCTCAGGGAACGGGTCCACAGGGGACAAATTGGTTACCTACAACCCTAGAAAGACGGTATTCGATATTTACCACGTTGACGACAACTGACAGGACTTACCATGCTAAAGACCATATGGCCCCCATTACCGCGACTTCATAACACAGACCATAAGCATAGTAGAATCGATGAGACTGCACGACGACATACATGCAAGAACAACGGGACGCAGACTTCTGCCATAGACGCGGTTCACGAATGCATAAGATGGAGGCGCTCCTGCAGGGTTATGACGTAAGTCTTTTGCGCACCCCTTCATGAGTTGCTGCAACCAAACGCACCTGGCGGAGGAACTCGTCTCGCGTTCATAATAACGTCGTTGTATCACTTAGAGAATGGGGATGGGCAACAAATTTGGTAGAGGTGGAAGTGTGACTTGCTGCACTGTGCAATTGCTCTGCTAGCCGCAGTCGCCCACAGTTTCAAGCTCAGCTTGAACGAGTTGGCGCCTGAATTCGAAACTGCTCTTGTTTCATCATCGTTGCCTAGGCCTACTTGCGCGTCTGTCGAACGTTTGAATTTGAGTGCGTGGGCTCCCATGGTTGTGATTTCTCTGGTACCTGTGCCCCCTACACGGCTAAGTCCTGTAGGTGATTTGTCACTTCAAGATACCTTTCGAGAGGGCTTCGAACGGGTGGAACGAAGGCTTCGTAGTGTGCAAGAGTATATGGATTGCACGAGGAAGGAATTTGATCAGAAGCTTGATGGGATAGGGAAGGGGTTGACGGGACGGTGGAAAGGGTCGATGGGATGGTGGAGATGGTCGACGGGATGGTGGAGAAGCTCCGTATGATCGAGGAGATCATCAGGGCTCAGCACTCAACGTTGCAACTACCGACCAACAAGTTTGAATCATTCTCATTGCATCAATTCATGTTACTCTGTTAATCAAAATTTTAGTAACGAATCGTAGCGTTGTTCACCCAACCTCTTGTACCGATTTGTTGGTCGAGGACGAGCACAACGACGACTCATTCATTTATTGAGACGAACTCATTACCTTCGGCCACCAATGGTCGATCAATTTCAACCCGTCATAGCTCTGGATATTGTTCACCTTTGGATATACTGGCAACATTTCCGTGCTACTTACTGTAAAGCATACATGTCGCAATTTAATTCTGCCAACATGATCAACCGCCCACACCCTTGCGGAAAAAACTCTGATGGCTTCTGGGCACGTATGACAAGGGAAACTGTAAGATCTGAAAGAGAATTAACAAAATGTTCGCGCGTCATCGCCAGCAGACCTTCCACAACCATCAATGAGTACCTCGTCGGTAGCTTTGCTTGGTGAGTTGGCGTGTCTGCGCAGGTATATGCCAGCATTTCTCTATGTCGTTTGCATTCTGACCCTGGGCCTTGCTGCAGTGTCTGCTGCCAACTGCCGCAAGATACATATCGCTCCCCTCCTTGCGTCAATCTCACCAGATGCCATCTCACGGGTTCTTTCTGACCTCGCTAGCTTTTGTGCTGTTGCAGCCACATCGGTTTCATCTGCGACGAATGAGGCACAAGTCGACAGCAAGCTGGATCTAGTTGGCCTACATCAGGCATCTCATGTGCGTTGTCAGAGCGTCAATACTTGTTTGTTTCCTTGTAGCTACTCATTCCTCTCCCTCTTCTTCGCCCAGACGATCGTTCGCGTTACCGGCTTTTCGGTATTGATGATAGCCGATATTACTTGGACATTCCTGTCAGCGTATTCAGTCATGATGCAGCTCCTGTGGGTGAGTAGAGCAGCGCTCTGGCTCGTCTTGGGAGAATTGAACATGGTAACTATGTCATTTTTCTCCGAGAGCTCATGACAGCTTTTCTTTGAAAGTCTCATCGTCGTTGACGACGCCCAGATAGAAACCAAAACGCTTCACCTCGACGCCTTTGTCGCGTCAGTGGCGTCACCATTTATAAGTATTTCCTTGCTTCAACTCAAGAATCAGCGACGCTTTCTCATTCTCTACTCCTCGAGCTCCAATGACACCTATTCCTCTTGCACCAGCATCTTCTCCATCAGGCCCTGTGCCACCGGGTCCTGCACAACATTTCACTATGATACGCGATGCTGCAGTTGCTATTGTTGATCGACTCGAATTATACGCGAAAGATTTACTTAAACTTAAAGCTGCTTTTGAACAGGTGATACGAAAGCTCGATAGTATGCAACATGTGTTTGATGATGTAGTAATGAGGTTCAATGGCATGGAGGAGACACTTGATAGGTTAGGGGAGAGGGTTAAAGGTATGGGAGAGACACTCGATTATATTGGGGAGATGTCTGGTGTCATGGTTAAGACGGTCGATGGCATGGATGAGATGTTTAATGATATTGTAAAAAAGGTCTGTGCGTTGGAGGAGAAGATCAAAGTGATGGAGAAGAGGGTCCATGAACAGATCAGTGGGTGAGCATCGTTTTATTGCATCGTTTGACAACACTTTCCTGATTGAATTTGCAGCAACGGATTGTGGCCAATTCGACTTTACAATCATCAACGCTCATTGGATGAGTCATTGGAATGGCCTTCCGTCTTTAATCCTCCCTATCCAGCTGGGAAGCCCAGTACTCTTGCGGAACTCCAATCAATGAATGGTAAGTGCGCTCTAGAGTGCTAATTGCTCCAACTTGCTAACAAGTGTTAGCTGGGATGTGTATGGCTCTCGTCGCTGCTTTACACCTTCCAACCCCTCCTGTTCCAATTCCGCCCCCACTCGAGTGGAGGAGAAAGCAAATAATTAATTACCTTGGATGTGCGGAATTTGACTCAATGAGTCATTCCATTGTGTTGTATTACTGATACCATTATCCTCGTGTTTGTTATAGAGAAATGTTCCTTGGTCTTGTACATATGCACAAGTCCTCATCATTGATGATATTTTGTTTGGTTTCGCATATCCCTATTGGTGTTTCTGTTCATGGGCCATTATGCATGATGGATCTCCACATCACAGCAAAAGTACCGAACGTCAGCAAAGACGGCGATCCCTTTGCTATGGTGTGGAATAATTGAGGATATAGCAAATGTCATATAACACAGCGCACGAGGCACTGTACTGCGCACATGTCTCAAGTGAGACATACTCAGAAAAGTTGGGGAGGTGATGACCATCGTCACTACAGGATGTCATATTAATACTGCTGCGCACCTGCGACGCTACCTGGGTTGTAAAAATATCATGCATAATCTCACCTAGCCAGACCAATTGAAAAAAGACAGCGTTCCTTCAGGTACATCGTGTCACTATGCTAGCCAGACAGTCTGTACCCACTGAAAAAACAATTTGCATTCTTGGTGACTGATATTAGAGTTATTGGTACTATACAGTGCACATTAACAATATTATACCTGAGGAGTGTACCCTCTTTTGCAATTTGGATCTCCAAAGCCTCAGCTGCTGGTATCTAGTTTCACATTCCTTATAATTATATGACAATAGTTTGGAATTGTATGTCATCATCAATTGATTGTGTCCTTGCAATTGGGTTCTTCCACCTTGTAAATAGAATACCCGGAGTCAAATATAAATTCAAGGTCAGTTAGCAATCTGCTGGCATTGCAAATATCATCTGTCTGAAGGTGCATTTGAGGTGCATAGGGACTGCACCGAACAGTATTCAGGACATAAAAAGCAAGCCATTTTCCTACTGCCCCTTCAGATTTATTTTCAAGATCCCATATCACATCTCACGTATAATACATCTCTCCTCCCAAGTTGTCCTCGCCATTGTTGCTGCTTTGATGGTCATCAGTAAATTCACACATTCCTTAGTGCAGCTTATTTTGAAAATTAAAACTTATTTTTAACTTATCTATAATTATTCACTTTGCTTTGAGTTTGACAAGTCAAGTAAGGAAGCACGTGGAATTTAAGTGCCGAAAAGCAGTGTAAGGCAAGATCAATTACCAATGCTGAAACAAGCGCTGCAAGTTGCAATACATCATTATTGATCTACTACTACTACTACTCATGATTTGAACTCTATACTTGTCTGAACAAAGATCTCGAATGCGATCTGGTACGTCCTCAGGCTTTGGCTCATTGTTTGTTCATTGATGATGCTGGAATGACAGATAAACCAAGATCAATGGACTCCAACGTGCGTTGCAGGCAGGAGCGAAAATGCTGGTGGACAGAGGCTGCTGCTTGTGCACTCACAGAGGTGAATGAGGATGTGGGATGGCAGGTGGACTCGGAGGTCCCACTGGGGTTGTGGGAGAGACTGAAGAGGGTCTTGGGGCACAAGGGTCAAAACTGAATGCGAGTGCAGCGTGACTGCAGGTTAAGGTGAGTGGAAATATTACAGCAGACAAGCTGCAAACTTACTGATCTTGAAGTTGATATTATCATCTTGGCAATTTGGCATCTGGGAGCTGCAGGATGGACCTGTAAACTAGCATTTTGGTTGATGTTAGTAGTTTAGAGTAAAATGCAAGAGCACATTCAGCTGTGTCGAGGGTGAACAACTTACAGTCCATAGAGGACACGACCTCCTTGAACGACACTGTGCATTGCTGACATGTAAGCCACCTGGACTTCATCCTTGAGAACTGACAGCCTTAGAAAGGGTCTCTGGGCGCCAAGACTGTGAGATGAGCTGAGGCAGTGGGGTCATAATGAATGCTAAGCAACTCCTGTGCCTGCTGTTGTTTGAGTGTGCAGCATTTGATCCTCGAACATTTTCCATTGCAATAACCTTTGGCGCTTGTGCTCTAAGTGCTTCAGCTTAATGTGCTTTGGGAAGGAAGGTCAATTAGAAGGAAGATCAGAGAAGTTTTAGCGGTACAAGGTAAGCACTCACTGAGAACAAATGCAACAGCATGACCTTCCCATAAGCCAAGGGCCATGATGACATGGTGGACATGCCTGAGGAAAGATCCAGCTTCGTGGTGGTGATGGTGAGACTCAGCTTCATGATGGCAATAGACCTGCAAGACAGACCCATCAGGAAGAAGCTCCTTGACATCGCCTGAATTTTCCTTCTCAGAGGAGCTGGCCTGGACAGTTGATGTAACTGGGTTGCACAAACAAGGGAATAGGAAGATCAGAGAAATTTTAGTGGTACAAGGTAAGCACTCACTGAGAACAAACGCAACAGCACAACCTTCCAATAAGCCAAGGGCCATGATGGCACGGTGGACACGCCTGAGGAAAGATCCAGCTTCGTGGTGGTGATGGTGAGACTCAGCTTCATGATGGTGAGAGGCTAGACCCATGACTGCATGCCTCCTTGATGTGTTGGGAATAGTTGTAGGCAACTTGCTATTCATGTTGTTAATACATTGTTGTGTCAGAAAAAAGGGTGCATACCTCATCTGAAAACATCTGGTAGATGTGAGTGTCCATTGTGATGCCATCATATCCATCAACCATAAAGCCATCCCAATCACTGAGACTTTGGAATGTGTCATGAATGAGCTCAACAGTATTACTTTCTGTGGATGAATCATAAGGATATCTATAGAATCTGGTTGTTATTGGTCAAAATTAGGATGAGGGCAAGGTCCTTGCCTGATATTCCCATATGAGTCTTTCCAATATTGCTTCACTAACTGTAAGCACGTCATCACCATCAAATCCAGCAGGTCTATAACTCATCAATCCAGCTGTATAAACTAGGATAGAAGGGAAGTTACTCATTCAATGGGGTTGATGTAACGGGTTGCACAAACAAGGGATTAAGAAGGATATGAAGTTCTCCAGAAACAGGACCAGAAGCTCCTTGACATTGCCTGAATTTCCTTCTCAGAGGAGCTGGCCTGGATAGTTGATGTAACGGGTTGCATGAACAAGGGAATAGGAAGGATATGAAGTTCTCCAGAAACAGGACTGGGGGTACTGCGTCAGCATCTGCGCAAGTTTCGACTGGGTGTTCTTCATGTGATGTCCTAGGACCTGACCATTAGCAATGGACTGAGAATTGGATTGAGAACCCACCTATGTAATCCAGTCAGGACGCTATCTCGAATGCGTGGTGGTCAGTGTATTTGTTGACATAAAATAAGCTGAAAGTGTCAAGAGAATGATAAAACTTGAGGGAGTGAGGAATGTACTCTGAACTGTAGATAGCTATCAAGTGTGCTGCATGGAAGACCGTCTCGATGTGAATGACAGCAAGGTTCCTCAAGCCGTCCTCATGAAAACTTGGAGTGACCATCCACATGCCAGTATCTTCATCAGGGCAGTCACCAATCTTCTCAAACCACTGTATGAGAGCACAAGGATATACTTCCCAGTTGTGCTTGAATGAAAAGAAGCATATGACTCTCACAACTTCGAGTCCTTGCATCCCTTCAGCATCTGAATCAGTGTTAATGAACATGCAATCATTGTGTGGGTACTCATTTTGCCAGAGTGGACATGCACGGATATGTTCGTGTCGCATGCCACCAATGCCACTCAGATCACTGGGAGCATAAAACGTTGCAGCAGCAGAATTGAAGACCTGAAGCTTGCCTTCATGTTGAGGCAAGCTAGCAGCTGGGATATCTTTGGGGTTGCAGGCATCATCTGGGTTGAGCTGAGAGAATAGAAAGTACTGAATGAGGCATCATAGATCTGGAACAGCAACTTCATGTGCCAATGCTGCTACTGTCTGTGCCCATTTTCATTCTGTGAGATGCAGTGGTGAGCATTGAGATTGGACATTGCATGAGATTACTTACGAGGAGTTTTGGCGAGTGCCACATAAGCGAGCACTGTTGGACCGTCAACTATTTCAGCATCATCAGTGTCATCTGCTTGTTGTGGTTCAATGATGGGGGCATCTGGTTGCGGTGCAATAGCAGGGGCGTCTGGTTCGTTTTCATCTGCTGTTGTATATGACTGTTGAGTATGTGAGAAATTTGAGAAAGAAACCTTAAACAGACTTACCAAGAGCAGCTAAAGTACTTGATAAAATTGTGCCAGTGAGCATCCCTTGCGCATCAAAGTCTGCATGGGACGCTGTGAGCTTATCAAGGTGCTGATTGGTCACAAGCATCTGACCAAGAGCATTGTGCCTGTTTGACCACTGCCAAGGCTCCTTTACGGCCTTGATGTGCTTTGATTCTGTGATTGATGAGCACAGTCTGTTAGGGGCACCGAAGAGTTTGATCATGTCAACATAATGAACCATCGAGTGCTGACGGGGGAGTGAGAAGGTGGGAACGACATTTTCAAATATTGTGTGATATCGATGAAAATGACCAAGTGCATCTTGAATCTGAATCAGTGTATCTTCAGTAATGACATTGTGCTGGACAAGATAACAGAATTCTAACAATGCACGAAATGCATGCACCATGTCTTGAGGTACGTGACCTTCGATAGCCGGAAGAAACACTTTCATGAGCGCTTTGGAATCATCGCCAGTCCACTGTTTAAAATTGCGGCCTTGAGGGAAACATCGTAGACCAGAGAATGATGGTGCAGCAGCAACTCTGACTTATTGTTAGATAATATCATTGAGTAAATGAGTAAGTTGACATACCTGTGATCTATGTTGCTCATGATCTCCTCTGACCATTTGGTCCCATGCATGGCCTTGAGGTACTTTGCTACCCAATCAATGAGATGGTCTTTGAAAGCCCCTTTAATTAGCTGGTGGAGGAGGTCAAATGACAGCAACTCATGAATGTCAGCTCAGGGGAAGTCATTAGTGAATGGCTACACAAAATAGATTAGTCTGGTATTGGAGAGCGGCTTGTTCGACTCATGATGAGATCACCAATGAGACCAAATTCATCCCACAATACATCCACATGTAGCTCATTGATTAAGAAATCAGTAAACTTGTGGGTGTGGTAGGTGGCATCACCATCAAGGTTTGTGCGAACTGCAATGCATCTACATGAATTGTTAGTGTGAATGGATACTGACTGCAAGTGCCAATACTCACTTCAGGCACCAATGTTTGACAATACAGGATAGCACTAGTTGTTCTTCATAATCCATGATGTATGGTCCTAGACTATATATGATGCACCAAAAGTGTCCGTCTCCACAGTGCACGACCTCATACTCAGTCATAACAGGTTTTAGACTGGAGAGAATCATGGACAATGAGCTGTGGAACAGCTGGCAGCAAAATATCCGAAATAAGTCATCTTTCGAATGTGTCTTGTCAGCTGTAAGACAGGTCAGATGAGGCATAATGAAATTTAAATATGAACATACATACTTTTGGGTATGGTGAGGAAACTGATGATGACAAGAGCATCATGGTGCATGCATCGTATGTTGTTACATACATTACCGATCGAGGCATAGAGGGGGTAATACTCATTATTACCAGTGCCCACAGAGACAGTAGTCTTGTCACTACCGAGAATGATTGGGATCAAAGCAGATCCATGTGTTTCTGGATCTTGCAATATGGTGTCCTTGATGGAATATTAGCTATATTATGAGCAATACCAGAAAGAGATGGAGGACGTACTGCCTGTTGCCATGCCCAGTCTCTGGACATGAAGTCTTTCCATCAGCGCATCTCGTCTGATGCATCATATTCATGAAATGGCACATAGTCAATTTTGTCCTTGTAGGTAGGGTTAGCAAGTATATTGTGCGCCATTGCACAAGGGTCCCTATACCAGACCTCAAATTCTTCGTCCATCCAAGGTGGGACAACCTCAGGTTGTTCTCCTGTGTATTGTGCAGAGAAACACTGCCAAGGGACATCACCAAGCTGTGTCGCATCTATGACGTTGTGCAGATCTTTGTGATCAGTGAATGGAGGGGTGTTGTGGTGTTTCACAAGTGTTGCAGCCATCAAGTCACACAGGAAATCCAAATTCCTCGCTGACATGTGGCATCTTTTGAATGCGAACTCTGCCGCCTTGAATTTGATTCTATTGTGGTATGGGCTCCAATCATCAGGAGCCTTCAGTGGCACAGGAGTCGGAGGGGTACCATGCAGCAGAAATGTCCCATCAGCCATGCATGGTTGTCCTAAGCATATATTTGAGTCAAAAACAGAGTATTCAAACTTGAATGAAACTTACCATTTAACTTTGAATGGAATGTGTGATAGCAACGCTTGCTCGCATCAGTGAATTCTGCGTTGGTGTTTGAATCCTCATGAGTTGGATCAGGGAGTATGGGAGATGATGGCTGGGGTGGGGGTGAAAAATCTGGAGGGGGCAGCAAGAAATCTCGAGGGGGCGGTGACAAATCTCAAGGGGGTGGTGACAAGTCTCGAGGGAGGGAGGGTGAATGAGATGGCCAGGGATGATCCTGAGGGGATGGTCCTGAAACAGGTAAAGTTGGGTGAAGTGAGCACCTGTGTTGCGTGAGACCTGACTGGTTTCAAAACCAGTGTGAGCATCCTGGAACTGGGCATGGAAGCTGAAGCAGGTGGTGAGCATGACAGGAAGGCATATGCACTGTGCTGGGATGTTGACAATTGAAGAAGATGTCAAAGGCAGACACATTCTAGGTTTGGGGTGCAACTGCCTGTAATTATTGGCACCAATGTGACAAACCAGTTTGATAATAAAAGCCAGATTTGGGGCCCAGACACAAGCAAACTGTACCGAACAGGCTTTGGTGAACATTGATTTTAGTGCTACACTGGAAATGCGGTGGTTAACCTCAGTCTCACTGTGTCAACAAATGAAAACTAGTACTCACAGTGCGGAAAGGGTTGGTTACGGTGGACTATGTGTATCAGGTTAGTTTTCCAAATGCGATAATTATTTGTTGTATTCCATTGTTTGTGTATTAGTAAATACGGTGGCTGTGGTTTCATTTCCCCACAACACCCACCACCATCGAAGCTCGTCGTCGCCATCAGCATGCTCGTCGTCGTGGTGCCGCACTCAGCATTACCTTTTGCCGCCGTGGACTACTTCTCACTCCACAATCATCAAGCTCGTCTATCTTAAAGTAAGTAAAATCTTTTGCTTTCATCATCAACACTCATCAGCGCTTGTTGTCACCATTAGCCTGCCCGTTGTTGTGGCATCAGCACATTTACTGCTACTCTCGTCATTACCTTCTGTCACTGTGCACTTTCTGCTCCACATACCCCAAGGGATCATCGAGCACATCCATCTTAAAGTAAGTAGATAGTCTTTGCCAACATCGTCAACACTCATCAGCGCTTGTCATCGCCATCAGTGTACTCATCACCGCATTCACACTCTTCACCTCGTACTCAATCCTCTGTTGTTTCCGTTACACTTCTATGTTCTGCACACCAACCTATTTGAGGCTACT